GGGGAATGCCATCCAGTTGGGGTCATGTAGATCTGACAGGTCCTGTGAAGTAGGGACTAGGGCTTCTCTCCTATCTCTAGAATAAGGCAGTTATCCCTCCATGGGGGATATTAAACATTACATCTCTTATGCATGTTTCTTTTCTGAATTTGGTGACAAGGAAAACTATAACTATCTCATCTTCAACTCCACCAGAGACCCGAAAAGGATATAGTATTACCTGAGTGAACAGGAAGTATAGAGCAAACAACTTCCAAAACTATGGAAATGGTAGAAGCAGCTGGCTGTCTGGACAGTCACCCAAGGTTTCTCTGCAACACTGGGGCATCTGTCTTCAGCCTATGGGCCTAGAATACCTGACAGACTTTTCTGTGAAGCAGGAATTTCGAAAGAATGTCCCACCTTGGCAAAGTTCAGCAGTCATTTTCCTTTGTGTCTTGCTTGTCCAGTTTGTACAGTATATTGTCAGCAGTTGGGGCAAGGGAAGTTTCTTGTCTAAATGACTAGCTTTACCACAAAGAAAGTGAACTCCATATGGAGGTTCCTCAATTCTCATCATCCTTTTATGAAGTAGATTGGTGCTACTAAAGGCAGACATGTCTCACTGTCATGAAAAGCCTTATGCTATTAAACATCTAAAATGCTATATTCTGTAGGTCTCTGAAGCATTTAAAGATCACCTATCCATCTAAAATATATGCTTAACCTTGAAAACATACCTAACATGACTACAAATTTGATTGTTATAGATGACTAATTACTAACCTGAGTTTTTAAAAATTATCCTAGATAGTTTATAATAATAGCTTTCAAGGACTAGAACTTCATATTACATTTTAAAATGAGCTGTATAGGTACAATGCCTTAAACAAGAATAGAAACATATATGCAGTATAACGAAAATAACCTTAGATTTGTATCACAATTTATAAAATATACAAAAATTCATACCAATGTAAAATATTTGAGATGAAATTATCTTTTTATCCTATATTCCTATATCTGCACTAAATAATGACTAGAATCCATAACCCACCAGCATACACCACCTCTTGGGAATATGGGCATTGTGTTCTCTAGACTGCTTCCTGTTTTCTGGGGGTGATGGAATCCCCAGGGAACCCTGAGAAAATTGAGAATGGTCAAGTTCTAAGAAAACTAGCTATAACATTTGTAGTCTAGTCTCTGTGTAATGGGAAAGTGCAAGGCGTATCTGAAGTTCTAGCTAGACTAGTCTGTGAAGCTGGACCATCTCAGCTAGCAGCCTTGAAATTTCATAGAACTTTGAGAAAACTGCAACAGAGGCACTTTGAAAGGCTGGATCACCCGGGCCACCCATTTTCATTAGACATCCAGTTAGAGATGTTCCCATGCCAAGGGGTCAGCATACATGTCACCTATCTTGTAGTTTTCTAGGTTTAGTTCTCCATTTCTGTAGCCAAGGTTTTCAGGAGGTCTCCCCCAATGAAATCTTGTCTCCATTAGTTTTGAAGGAACCCACAGCCTTTCCTTTTCTGTGGAAAGAAAAACATAAACTCTCCCCCAAAGCAATACATTTTTGAATTCCATTTTTAAGTTAAGACATCCCTAAAGTATCTAGGATGGTTTTATTCAGCAGTTCCCTTTTTAATCCCATGTCCCTCAGCAGCTGCCATTAACTCATATTCTTCTTATATTATTTTCCCCTTATTTTAAAGACTTCATTTAATTATTTTTAAACTATTGTTTTTTTCCTATGACTGTAACGTCTTTAAAGTTTTTTTTCTCCAGTCTGGACCTGCTTTACTATGCACCTGTAGTGTTCTCTGACCATGTAAGCCAAACCTTAAACTGCTCAGTGGCAGGTAGGCCCTCTGCCATGTGACTTTGGTGGTTGGCTCTGACCCCTCCTTGGGCCCTTGAGAGCTGAGCCTTAACTGAGAGCTGCATTTAACCTCCCCAGCTCTAGGAAGTTGGTGCCCGAGTTGTGCAGTGTTTTTAACCTTGCTGTTTCTACTTAGCTGTTCAAGTGCTCTGCTGCACAACAGCACCTCTCTAGGAGCTGCATCCATTTGTTTTTGTTTTTCAGCCCTATGTGGAAATTCAGGTCCCACATTGAGTGCTACTTCTCTGAAGAGATAACATTTCATCACAGACGAGAAGAATGGGGAATCATGATGAGAATGGAGGGGCTGGAGAGGTGGATTAGTGTTAAGATTAGGTTAAGAGGAGCAGCTGCTCTTCCTGAGGACCAGTGTTCTAGAGAAACAGATTCCCAGTATCCACATTGTGGCTCATTCATAATCATCTGTAATTCTTGTTACAGGAGATCCAACACCCTCTTTTGGCCTCTTCAGGCACCATGCACACGCATGATACACAGACATACACGCAGGCAAACTCCATACACATAAAAAGATAATAAAAAAAAAAAAAGAAAGAAAAGAATGGAAGGAAGATCATTTGAGATGATCTGGCTTTGTTTTTAACGTCACTGTTACAGTTTGTGATGAGGTTTTCCAGCTAGAATCTCGGAGAAGTTTTGCGCTGAAAACCTCTTCTTTACCCAAGGCTTAGTGTACATCTTATACCTTCAGAATCTACCTAATGGTTTCAAGATCTTGAGGCAAAACAACCCCAGGGATTGTTTGAGAAACTGAAAGGACTTCCATGAGTCTGGAATGGTGGTGTGGGAAAGATTTATGGAAAATGGAGAATAAAGACATCACATTACAGGTTATTCACAGTTTTCATGTACAATATTAAACGAGTTTCCTTCCCCTCCCTTCAAGACAGTAGAAAGTTTTTGGATAATTTTAAGTGGGAGAGTGATCTCATCTGGTTTCATTTTAGAGAATTTTACTTCCATTTTTAAAACTTGGAGGACTTTAAAGAATAAGGATAATTTGGCTCCTACGTGGGCGACTAGAGAGAGGCTAAGAGGAAGCAATGGAGCAGGGGGGAAGCTATTGCTGTGGTTTGTATAAGAGATTCTGACATCCTGAAAAGAATGAACATGAGGAGGAAACAGGCAGATATACTTAGGAGGCATAAATAGTATGTCTTGGCAATGCCTTATAAACAGAGAGCAGGCAATAAAGAAAAGCAAAGGCTAGCACTGCCCTTCCTGGTTTGAACACAGGGTCAATGAGATCTCTCATGTGCTGGGACTGGAAAAATCTAGACTACAAGGAAGGAATCAAAAGTTTGATTTCAGATTTCTTCAGTTTGTAATTTCAGTGAAATTTGCTATTAGAGGCATTAGAGAGGAGATTTCAGCACAGAGGGATAGGGACCTTAACTACAAATCTATGTCTCATTAGTATATTTATTATATGTGTTTAATATTTTATTTTTGAGATGATTCAAGGCTGTTCTTGAACTTGTTATATAGCCCAGGCTGTCTTTGAACTTCTCCAACCTTCTCATTCAGCCTCCCGAATGCTGGGATTATAAGCATGTGCCACCATGCTCAACTTTATTATCATATTTAGATGGTCATTTATGCCCTCAAGCAAGGCTTCGACACTGAAAGGAGGGTGTAGAGATAATATAGTCACAGGCCAAACCCATTGCACACATGGGTGAGGAAGATGGTGCAAAGGAAGCTGGTCAAAGGCAAAAAGAAAGGTCAGGAGAGTGCCCACTGCCTGACCTGGAGACAACTCTGCAAAATATAGAAGACAAGAGGAAGAAAAGCTCTGACTCCGTGTTTGTTTTTCTAAAAGTGAAACATAGATTTGCAAAAGCGAATGATAAAGTCCGCAGGAGTCACTGTTTCAAGAGGGAAGTGACAAATGTTTCTGAGGGAATTCATAGGGTAGGAATTGAAACGTAACCATTGATTTGGGGAATAGTATAGAGAACTTGGTGGAGGCAATGTTCAAAACAGTAGTGCTCTGGGACACCAAAGAAACTGCAGGAAATGAGGCCTGGAAATACCAGATGTGACTGAACAATCCTAAGATGCAAATGAACACAAGTTGTTTGACTGAGCTTTGAGTCTACTGAAAAGCAGATTCAGATGCATAGACCCTCTTGTGTCATCGAAAGGCTTCAGTGTTATGGCCTCTGGGGTCACTTTTTCAGGTAGACCATCCCTGTCCCTTTCCAACTCTGGCTTCCCTTCTAAATTCACTATAACATTTTATGGAGTATCTTCCAACTTGATTGACTCTTGGAGAAGTTTTGCATTGGAGCCCACTATGGATAATCATCTTCTGTAGGCTCAGTGCAAATGCCACTTTACCTCTAGAACCCCATAAACTTCCTCCAATAAAATGAATGATTTTCTCCTTTGTAGTTCCACAATACTTTGCATATGGTTTGGTATATAGACTATGACCACTCTGGGGAAGGAGGCTTAGGTTGAAAACGAAATTGACTTGGAATACTTTATCCAAACAAATCAGTTCAGTCTATAGCAGGAGTCAATCCTCTTGTATAATGGAGTGGCCTCTGTACCCCACTTTCCCCATTTAAGTTCTGTTCTATCCATAGAATTAGGACAGATAAGTAGTTCAAATAGTTCATCTGGAGCTTGGGCAGAACTAAGAGTGAAAATAAGCCAGGTAGTGGTGATGAACGCCTTTAATCCCAGCACAGGGGAGGCAGAGGCAGGTGGTTCTTTGTGATTCCAAGGCTAGCCTGGTCTATAGAGTTAATTCTAGGACAGCCAGGGCTGCAGAGAGAAACCCTGTCTACTAAACCAAACCAAAACAAACAAAAAGAGTGAAAATCAATGATAATAATCCATAGACTGAAAGTAGCATTTTCTGCTTAAGCCTGTATACTTCCTGTCTTATTCCCAGGCAAGCTACTACAGCTGTCTTACTTAGGAAATTCTTCACAAAGAGTCAAAACCATGTCATTAGAAAACTAGATTTGTGGGCCCTGTGGTAAGAAAATCTGCCCTGCTAATTGTTTCCAGACACTGGCTTCCCCCTCAGGCTTGAGGGCAGTTTGTCATAAGGGAAGGCATTCATTCACTGTTGTTGATTTGTGATGTTTTTGTCTTTCAGAACCTGAGGCGGGAGAGGTGTCCCCTCCAGTGGGTGCTGGTGTCAACAGCAACAGCTGGACCTTTAAATACGGACCAGGCAACCCCAAACAGTCCGGTCCCGGTGAGTTGCCAGACAAATTCATTATCCCAGGATCTCCTGCAATCATCTCCATCAGGCAGGAGCCTGCTAGCAACCAAATTGACAAAAGCGACTTTATAACCTTCGGCAAAAAGGAGGAGACCAAGAAAAAGAAGAAAAAGAAGAAGGGTAACAAGACCCAGGAAAAAAAAGAGAAAGGGAACAGTACGACCGATAACAGTGACCAGTGAGGCCACCAAATGGAAACAAGCCACTTAGCCAGTTTTTGTAATAATGGCAAATCTCTCCCATGTAGCAACTCCCTGCTCCTTTCTCCTATGACATGAGCCCTCTTAGAGACCTCAGAAATCTGCAGAAAGTTCCCTGTGTCTGTCTTGATCGAATTGAACAGGTTTTGTCTTAAAAGCTTTCCTAAGTCTGGTGTTAACTCTTTCTCTCCACTCTGGCTTGTTTTCAGAACCTAAAAAGCAGACCCAAGTTTCCTTTCTCCTCCGCCGCAAAGGAGAGGCTTCCCAGCCCCGCCAGTGAGAGTTGGACTCTCTGCCCTGTGCTTCAGGCATCTTGATGACATTTGCAGGGCAGTGAAAGGTATTCAGGTTGAGCAGTTTGGGTGTTTGTGGTCACTGGATATACGTAGCTACCATGAGCGTTCAAGAGCCTGATACTGGCTGGGATGGTTCAAATTAGACTAGTTGACACAAGAAAGGCTGGGAAACAAAGATACAGAAACAATTGGAGTCTTTGGTCTGGAGGGGGAAATGTGAAACCAAAAGGGACCAGACTTTCTCAACTCAAGGTGTGGTGGTCATCTGCTAGCTGACAAAACCACCACCACTGACCAAGCTTTAGGAGTCCCTCAAATCTGTTGGCTATGTATCGCTACACTCAAAACCTGTGTTATGCACACAAGCCAGCAGTTCAAGTGTTTAACAGAGGGCCAGCCAGGGCAACAGAAGCAGACCTGATGTGTTTCCTGTACATGTCCTTGTGCTCACACTATTAAAAATTCTTTTGCACACAATATTTATGAGAAGGACACATCCTTTTCCAACAACACATATGCAAAAGCAAAAGAAACACCCAAACACCTCACTTTATGCTGTTTGTTGTTTGATAGATTTATTTAAAAAGAGAAAATCTATAGTTATAAATCTTTAAAGAAATATGATAAACACAATTCCCCCAACTCCCCTCAAAAGAGAATCCAGTCTACAGCCATTTAAAATGATCATTGCTGCTACAGAAGTGCTTTAAGAGAATTGCCTGGAACATCTGTATTATACCGGCCACCTGCCAATCACAGCTTTACTCTTTCAGGTCACTCTGGGGCTGCCTCTTGCATGTATTAATTACTAAGTAAAAGGATCTTTCTCTCTTTTCTAAGAAAAATGATGTGCACTTTGATTACACAACCTTCTCTAACCCACTATATCAAGATCCAGAAACTGAAGAAAAATATCGTTTTCTCATACATACAGTGAGCAGATTTTTTTCATTCCTCTGATCCTGTGATTGTCTCGGTGTGATAGCCTACACCTTTGCCTTGTTTAGTTTTCCTTTTCTATAACACTCTGAATTGCTAACCTTACTAACACCTATGATGTTACCTGAATCAATCTCCCATATGTATGCTGTATGCTATTATAAGACTCCTGAGATATACTTACTCTGTGCTTGTGTATGTGAATGTTAATGCAACTATTACCTAGAGTGAACTTTAAGCTTTATTGTTGAATGTAAGCCCATTATATTTCCTTTTGTACACCTGTGGAAAAGTGAAATAGTGTTTTTTTTTAAACCATTGTTAATCAGCTTTTGTGTATGAAAGACACAGTAAAATTTCTTTCTTAAATCAAGATGCTGGTGATTCAAGGAATTTTATTTATGGTCAGCCAAGGGCTGTCTCTTGCCAAGACTCCTGCTGGCAAGGGAAAGGATAAAGTTGTTTTTTTTCTAGTAACAATTCTGGAATAAATACTGAAGAAAGTCCCTGAGGGTATGCAAGCACAAAATTGTACCAATCTGACCTCTTTGAATTTGTAGATTCCTTTGAAATGCTATCTGGAATATCAGCTCATAGAAAGTAATAAAATTTACTGTTACCATTAAATAAGACATTTTAAGTTTGTTGTGCACAACTTAGAAGTTTGATTAATTATATTATCTATTTAAAGTTAATATAAAAAAGTAGGAGTCTGTTTTAAAAGGCATAAAAATCTAAAAACAAAATAACCAAAAAAAAAAAAAAAAAAAAAACAAAACAAAACAAAAAAAAACCTGTCTTGTCTTTTAGCTTCATTCTCCCATATTTTGAAGGGTGTGTAACTTCAGCTCTGCAGGATTGCATGGGGTAAAACTGTTGACAACACATGTGAACCATTGCTACATTGTAGGTTGTGATCATTTTGCCCCACTGAAGCCCATGTAACTGACCTTACGTGCCTTTTGAACTAGGAGAATCGGGCTAATTTATTAATGCTGATAACTATAATGTATATGTACAGCACTTTTTAAATTTATGAAGTGCTTTCCAGTTCGTGTTAGTTACTAGTTATTACAGCTGTAAGGATAAAACACGTCATGTGGATTCATTTTTAATTGGTGCTATTGGTATTTCCTCTGTTATTGCTAATAAATGGAAACGGTGGTGTGAAAGCAATGGTGGTCATTTCTAAGTATAAGAGTAGGAGGAAATGGGACACTGGTGATCGTTGGCTGTTACTGCTGAAGAGCATCTGGCTGTCACCCTGGATCTTAATTTATCACTGAGGCAAACAAGGATGGAATCGAGAATCACACTTCACAGCCGGGGGTTGATGGTCACTTCCCCCTTTGCTATTTCAATCTGGCAAGAACTGTAGCATCTCGTTTTTATCCATGACACACACACACACACACACACACACACTCTTGGGTGGGTTCAGCCCATGCTACTACTCGTTCTGTAACAGATTATCCTTTTGAAGTTAAATTTTGATGAGTATAGGCTTTACATGTGGTATTTCTCAGTATGGAGGAGTTTTACCTCCATACGTGGGGGTGGGGAGAGGGGAGGGGAGGGCGAGGGGGAAGGACCATCACTTTCTATCAGGCGGCATCTCTGTCTTCGGTCAGTACTTGGAGGTGAGAGTGCAGTGGCTTTTAGTGGGTAGAGACCTAGGACACTGTTCAACACCCCCACGGTGCACAGGCGAGGCCCCCATAAGAAATGAGTTTCCTAGCCCAGAATATTAATAGTAACAAGAATGGGGAAGCTTGAGAGGGGGCAGTGACTATGTAACTTGTTTAGCTCACTTTTAAAGTGGAAAGGAGATACTGATACTAACCCCTCCGAGGTTTCCACAAGACCTGCAGTAGCTGACTGGAGTATGTAGAGATGTGTGTGTTATAACACAGTATTACAGCATTTCCCTGTCACTAGACAGGGGCCTGACAAGTGCTGCTTTCAGTTTTCAGGCTCCTCACTCCCAAAGCCAGGAACTCTTAGTATAAGCCTTACATCTGTGGGGAGGTTTTTTCTTTTCTTTTTTTTTAAATCAAGATTGTCTTCAAAAGGTTTAGTCACAATTTCTGCCACATTATGTGCTCAATAAATAGTCATTATTATCAACAATCCTTTTCCTTACCTCTTTTGCTCAGAACCTTTAGGCAGGACTGCAGCTTATCTTATTCATCAAAATGCAAATTAGGGACAGTAAAATAAGTCAGTGTAGAGTTGGCATTAAAAATACTAGCCAGGTGGTGGTGGTGCACGCCTTTAATCCCAGCATTGGGAGGCAAAGGCCTGTGATTGGAGGCCAACCTGGTATACAAAACAAGTTCCCGGGACAGCCAGGGCTACACAGACAAACCCTGTCTCAATACAAACAACTACAAGGAAAAAAAACCAAAAAACAAACAAACAAACAAACAAAAAACCTCACTAAGTGGTGTGAGATGACTCAGCAGGTACAATCCAGCACGTGTGATCTGAGTTCAGTTCCTGGAATCCACTATGGAAAGAGAGTCAATTGACTCTCAAGAATTATCCTCTGACCATCCTTCACACATAAGCAGTGGCTCGTGTGCGTGCACACACTTATAAATAATAAACACAAGTTTAAGAAATTTACTCACATCTTTATCCAACCTTGGAGGAAAAAACTTCCATAGTGTTTTTCTTTTTTTTCCTGTCAAAAATAAAAACCAGTTCTCCAAGTAAATAGGTAAACAAATTAAACTATTTGCAGCTGTTTCACGTCAACGATCAGTGATCTGAAAACACCCTGGGCTTGAAGCCACCTTCAGCTTCAAACGGATTGAACTTGTGAGTCTAAGTATATCGATGTAAAGGAGATCTGTGGCGACTTCTTTCTACAAATGGGTTAAAAGCAGAACTGGAACATCTTAGGTTGCCTAAACTCATACAGGCAATAAAGGACATGTCAGGATGAATCCCTCCCTATAAGGCTGCTCTGTAAGGGTCTCCTATGTAGAGTGAAGGATTTACCTACCCACTAAGATTGCAGTTCTCAACCTGTGGGTCATGACCCCTCTGGGGTCTCATATAAGATGTCCTGGGTATCAGATATTTACATTACGACTCAAAACAGTAGCAAAATTACAGTAATGTAGCAACATAATCTTATGGTTGGGGTCACATGAGAAACTGCATTAAAGGGTTGCAGCATTAGGAAGGTTAAGACCCACTGCAGTAATACTTGCAATTAAGCTGGGCGCAGTGGCCTTTGATCCCAGCTCTCTGGAGGCAGAGGCAGGCAGATCTCTGTGAGTTTGAGGCCAGCCTGGTGTAACAGTGAGTTCCAGGCCAGAAAGAACTACAGACTTAGAGCCTGTCTCAAAAGTAAAAGAAAAGAAAAATCACCATGATGAGACTCCCTGATGAGTGTCTAGGGCTTGGCTGCCAGCTGTTGGATTTCTCAGCAAGATTCTGGGTCCTGGGGTCTCATGATAATGATTTTAAGTTTAAAACAGCCCTAAATACAAATGTAACTGACAAAACATCAATTCAATTCTCATGTTAAACCTAGGTTTTTAAATCAATGTAAACACCAAGACATGTGCTAGAACAAGAAAACAAAACAGACAAACAGAAAAGTACAATGATATCAGGGCAGGAAAGCAGAAGCTTCCTTCCGAAGTAGCGAGTTGGTCACTCTTAGCCCCATTTAATCTCATATTTACATGTTTCCTCCCTGGGTAGAAATGATCACATTATTTCTCCAGATTAGCTTGACTGCTGACAGGCATGCCACAATGCAGTTTGCAACTAAGATATTAATTCCCTTTTACCCAGGCATGAGTGTGTCCATGCACCTGTGAACACACACACACAAACACACTCATATGCCTGCACTGACCTTTTGTTGTTAAGTGCACTATAGTAAATGAGTGTGGTGCTATCCTGTTTTTGATATATACTCAACAGCGGCACATCACAACTCTATTCTTATAGTACTACGGCCAAATTCTTGTTGGTTTCTAGTTTCTTCTGAGGCTGATCTGTGGAGATCACCTTGGAGCTGCTGAAATATGAAACTCTGAAATCTTTTTTACCTGAAACAACCTCGGCTTGTTTTTTTTTTTTTTTTTTTTTTTTTTCCCCTTAAGCTCATTTGAGAGGTAAAAAAAAAAGGGGGGGGGAATTAAAAATTGAGAAAGCTAAATGAAGACCTGAGATAGTGAAAACTAAAGTTCAATATTTCACTGTTACAACATTGTCAAATGATGTGCAGCTTTCTAGCCACAAAAAAAAAAAAAAAAAAAAAAAAAAAAAAAAAAAGACAAGTGATTCCTATAAGCATCAACCAATTAAGAGCTAAAAGAAGTTAACAACTGCTCATACGTATGTGGGAGGGTTGATTACATAGCTCCCATTTTTAACTTTTGCTTCTGCTGTGTTAACCGATTTTATGTGATATTGGACTTCTATGATGAAAGTCACACATGTTCTTTTAAATAAACCAAGTGGTCCAGAGGCATATTAAGAGCATCAGAAGTTCATGAGATGGCTCAGGCAATAAATGTGCCTGTCGCCAAACCTGAGTTCAGTCCCCAGTACCACATGCTAACAGGAGAGTATTGACTCACACAGGTTGTCCTAATCACATTTAAAAAAGAAAAAAAGTACACAGATAACCAATGTAAACTGTTTCTGTATTTTTCCTCTGTGTATGCATCTGCACATATCACTCACAGGCTAAGTTTTCTGTTTTTTATTTTTTTAAAGTAAAAGTTAATTACTGTTATGATTGTTCTCTCAGAATTTTTAACTGATAGTAACACAGAGACTTCCTCAAGTCCCGTAAAAATCCAGATCTTAGTACATACAGCTTTTCCTGTATTATGTCTGGGTTATGTCTAGATTTTTGCTACTAGAAATAAAAAGTGGCATGTGTTTTCAGTGATAAATTCTGCTCCTGTGCTTTGTAAACCTTTGTGTATTCTGCAGAGGAAGTGTGCAAGGTTGTTAATGGACAATTTGCAACCCCCTCAACAATAAGCACATCCTCTATCAGAAAACAAGTTTATTTTTAGTAACCAGCAGCATATTTTAGCTCTGTTTATGGTTAAATAATGAAGAACAGGAACAGATATTCACAAGAAAAACAGGGAAAAGCTAGGGAGGCTGATCTTTGCTTATTTATTCAGAATAATACAGTGTGGTGGGTTCCACTTCAGCCAAAGACTGATCCGAATGTGTGAAAAAAGATCCTCAGAATTAAAATACCTTCTTAGTTTTGATATCATCTGGCTTCACACTGAGAACACTCTAATTTTACATCTTAGCTGAAAGGTAGAACTTGGTACCCAAGGAACTGATTTTACTTTAGAAGAGTAAATTGCTTATCAAATAATAAATTTGACAGCGAAGATCAAGGCAACCATTTGCAAGTTAAAAAAGAGCTCAATTGCAAAACCATCTGGCTCAAAGCTTGAGATGATTTTCCTCTTTAAATTATTGATTGTATTTTCTCTCACAAAACAGTCTTTCCGGAAAGAATTGCACTCCTATGTCTTGGGCTTACTCCATTCTCTATGGCTAACAGCATTCACCAGCTCATGTTGCTACAGTTGCTCTGCAGACAGCTTCCTTCTTCATGGCTTTCAGGCCCAGAGCCAGTTTCTCAGGAAACTTGGGTCTCAGCAACCACAATCTTTCTGTCACACCTTTCACTGAGGTGCAGTGGGATGGCAGCCAAATATCTGGCAAGGTTGTTCTAGAGCATCGGTGAGTGGTGCACACGCTTGACGTGGTAGTTAAAATAGCAAGGCAGCACTAAATCTCACCTGGAATTTTGGGTGGGAAGGAAGCTCTTGTACATGCTAAGCACCAGTGGGGTAAAATGAAAATCACAGGTGTTATGTTTTGTGCAGCTCTAGAATGGCAGGCTCAATGAGCAAGACAAGATCATTTTTACCGACAGACATATATTGTAGATTTTTAGATGGCAAAGACAAAACAAAAACAAAAACCCAATTCTATTTAGGGTAAGCCAAAAGGGATGATTTATAATTAAGACATATAATTGTCTCATTGAAACCAAGGATGGGAATGTGGCTGGACTTCCAAAAATGACCAAAACTAGTAATTCAAAAGCCAGAATTATCTTCTTTAAGTTTTTCTTCCCCAATTATTTCTATTTCATTCTTCT